AAAAAAAAATAAAATAGTAAGTTTGCTTATATATGGTCTTAACTGTTTTCTTGTTGCTTTATATATCTATTGGTAACATAATTGGATTATAATCTTGTTAATATAGCAGAGAACTGTAGATGTACACCATTTTGGTTCCTACCTAGTAAAGCTGATTTTAGTGAGCTGTACTTTGGAAGCAAGTTCTTGATGTTTACTTTGAGAGACACTACAATTGTTACTATTATAATCAATATTCTTACTTGATACTATTATTATCAAGTACATTCTGTTCACTGTATACTGAGTTATCTCTACATAAAACCCAACTAAGACACTTCTTTCAATCACCAAACAAGGAAACCTTTGTCTCTCTGGAAGAAAAAGCATGTTTTTTCTTCCCAGACAGCAGGGCACTGGAAACCAATTGTATTTCTTTTTACTTTAGTGCCAAGAACTTCCCGGATTGTGCTCCAACAAGTGGAATTCACACTAATTCTGAGACTGGTGCTCCTAGAAGTTGTGCAGAGGGCAGCCCTGACAGAAAGCTCAAGCTCATGCCTCTTTTTTCATTTTTATATTTTATTATTATGTATTTTTATTAGCCACCTCCAATTTTGAATGCAAATAGTTGGGCTACAAATGTAAACAAACTCTTAAAGAATGTGGATCACTACATCAAAAAACTAATGATGTATTGGTGACTAACATAACATAATAAAATTAAATTAAATTAAAAAAAAAAGAACAGGGTTTATGTCTTCATTCTTCTGTATTTCCTAATATTCCTAGTTCACACAGAGGTATGAAGTAGATGCTTTTTAAACATACCTCAGAGGAGAGACCCTTTTATTTGTTTAATCAACCATGTTTTTTTTTCTTTAATGAAAAAGTACAGGCACAGGGTTAAAATAATTTAAAAGTACAAAAGGTGTACATTTTAAAGGATCTCTTTTGTTGCAGAGCCCCAGACCCCTTCCTAGTAGCAACCACACTGTTACCGGTTTACAATATTAAATGTTCTATGCGGAGCCTTTATACTTCTAGAAGACAAACTAAAAACTACAATTGGGAACCTTGTATACCCAATGTCCTACACCTTGCTTTTTTGGTGGATACAGTGTGGAGCTCAGCAGGAAGCTTGAACTCAGGACCTTGAGATCAAGACCTGAGCTGAGATCAAGAGCTGGATGCTTAGCCGACTAAACCATGCAGGCACCCCAGTGGATACCCTTTTAACTACTAAGAAAATCAAAGCAAATAAAAAAGTAAAGTAGAATAATATAAAAATGTTGAACTAACTTGCAACATAAATTAAATGGAAAAAAAAACAAAACAACACCAAGGTATCTTTTTGTAAGTATGTAATTTAAAACTTTAATATCTAGAATATATAGTTTATTAAAAAAAATCTCTACATGGACAAATGGCAAAATCCATGCCAGAAGGTGTTCTAAATACTTTAAATGTATTAAGTCATTTAATCCATAATGCAACTCAACAAAGTAGGTATTATTGAAATGTTTATTCTATAAATAAGAAAATTAAGACAAAACAGGCTAAATAGTATGCTCACGGCACTAACTAGGATGTAACAAAGCCAGGATTCAAAACGCCCAAATTCTGGCTCCTGAAGGCACATTCTTTTTTTTTTTTTTTTTAAAGATTTTATTTATTTGAGAGAGAGAGAGAGAGAGCATGAGGGGGGGAGGGTCAGAGGGAGAAGCAGACTCCCTGCCGAGCAGGGAGCCCGATGCGGGACTTGATCCCGGGACTCCAGGATCATGACCTGAGCCGAAGGCAGTCGCTTAACCGACTGAGCCACCCAGGCGCCCCTGAAGGCACATTCTTAATCACCAGAGTGCCTGTCAAAGGGAAAGATAGTTTACACTAGAAGAAATGAAAATAGCAAACCAACATGTGGGAAAAAAATCAGCCTCACTACTAATTATAAAATACAAATTAAAACAACTATTATAGTACTATGTTATACTTATTTGCAAAATAAAAGAAAAATGAAAACCCAAGGCTGATGATCCTTCAGGGATACATTTATGCATTGCTGGCTGCACAATAAAAATTGGTTCAATCTTTTTAGCAAGTAATTTAGCTACATATAACAAGAGTCTTAAAACCAATTACAATCTCTAATCTAGTAATCTCATACTGAAAATTAATTTAACAATATAATTCAAAAAAGAAAAATAAAGGCTGTGACAGACAGTGTAATGTTATTAAAGTACTAAACCGAGAAAGACAATGAGAAAGGGAAAGAAACTGGAAACAATCTAAATAATTACCAGTAAGCAACTGGAAACAGTATTATATGGTTAGTAAGAATGGTAAGTATGCATAAGGATTATGCTGACATACATAAAGGACACATAAAATGATAGAGAACAAACACTTATATACATAGTGACTATACTTAATGTCAAACCATGCATCTATATGTATGAATTCAGAAATCATATCCAGAGGTGCCCGGGTGGCTCAGTAGGTGCAACATCAGACTCTTGATTTCAGCTCAGGTCATGATCTCCGGGTTGTGAGATTGAGCCCTGTGTTGGGCTGTGCTGAGCGTGGAGCCTAGTTAAGATTCTCTCTCTCCTTCTCCTTCTGTCCCTCCCCATTGCACTCTCTGTCTCCCTCTAAAATAATCAATCAATCAATCTTAAAAAACAAAACATGTCATATCCAAACCTGATCAGTTGTGTTTAGGTTTGTAGGTGAAAGAACCATGGGTATTTCTTTAGTAAACGTGTAAAAAAAAAAAGTTTTCATTACTGTATCTCTAGAGGTATAGAAATCCTCTTAAAATATGAGATTTACTGCCTTTGAAATTTTAAAGATTTTATTTATTTATTTTGAGAGAGAGAGAGAGAACCTGAGAGGGGAGAGGGTCAGAAGGAGAAGCAGACTCCCCACTGAGTGGGGAGCCCGATGTGGGACTCGATCCTAGGACTCCAGGATCATGACCTGAGCTGAAGGCAGTTGCTTAACCAACTGAGCCACCCAGGCACCCCTGCCTTTGAAATATTAATATGATTCTTAGAACTGATAGTAATTGAGATTTCTAATGCTCAAATCAATGTAGTCCACTGGAATAAGAGTGTATGAAGTAAGTGTGAGAAGGAATAAGGAGTTTAGTAGACTTAACAGATTAAATGACTGGAGTTATTGTAGTATTCCCATGGTAGGAACCATAATGATGGCAAAAGAAGAAAACCTTCCGAAATCTGTTGGAATAGTGTCTTACCTGCTTTAAGGTTGCTATGAAGCGAGTTATATATTCTACAGTGACTGGGTCCTCAACTGTGAGCTTATAACTCTGGCACTCCACACGGGATCTGTTTATTACTACTCTAGCATCAGCAGTCAGTCCTATAAAAGTAGGCAATACATTACAAAAAAGAATGACTCTTTTCTTGTCCAAAGGGTTTTTTTTTTAGCTACCATGAAATCTTTCTTATAATGTCCATTTGTTTTTTTCAATATCTGTCCATTATAAATAATTTATAAAACAGAATATCACTTGTCCAACATTTAATACTTAATCTGATGCATTCTTATTTACTTTTTAAAGAAATGGTTTTAGGGGCGCCTGGGTGGCTCCGTCGGTTAAGTGACTGCCTTCGGCTCAGGTCATGATCCTGGAGTCCCAGGATCGAGTCCCACATCAGGCTCCCTACTCAGTGGGGAGTCTGCTTCTCCCTCTGACCAACCCCCTCCCTGTGCTCACTCTCTCTCAAATAAATAAATAAAATCTTAAAAAAAGAAAGAAATGGTTTTAAAGAGTAATAGTTAAACACTAAGTTAAGTAAATTATTTTCCCAAAGATCAAAATGGTTTAACTCACAGTGGTTGGTCTGGTTATGAGATTTTATTAAACATTTTCTAAAAATCTCTGTAGTCATATTTTTTAAAACTATTTTTGGGGAAGATATCAAAGGCAGACTGATCAAAGGCTGATCGTTTATCCTGGTTCCAAAATCAATATTATTTATATTATGAATATTATTATTCATTACCTAAATCATTAAGTAAGCTGTATTTCTCCTTATGAAGACAGTATTACTTCATTATCAAACACATATCCATTGAATTCAAACTGCATTCAATGTAACTGTGACATGTAATTTCTCTCAGCTTTTCGTCCAAGATTAAGGGTTTGAAAATCAAGAATGTTAAAACAGAAAAAGAAAAGTCTTCCTTTTGCCATACCAAAACATCATGTAATTAATTTTCAACATTTCCATAAGGAAATAGAATGATTCTATAAAAACAACAACTGACCCAAAACTTAAATACAACAGTTGCGAACATTTCTATTAAAGACTTCTCTGGCATTTGACCTTTACATGGCCATTTTGTTTCTTTCCCCACTCTCTTAATAGCACACTGCCAGGAAAATGCATTCACAAAATCTCTGTAACAGTCATTTCTCACATAACCATCAGTCTTTTCACAAACTCATCTTCCACTTCCACACCATTTCAAATTGTGTTTCTACAAATGGAAGAATTGTCAGTCCCTGAAGATAATGGTAGTCAACAATGAAGAACCTGTCACAATATGCCCCTAAGAATCACCGTAACACTCATGGGTCAGGGGCAAATTTTAATCAGATAGTTAAAGAGGGAGAAACTGATTCTATTCTCTCTGCAAAATATGAGAAGCACCTGGCTGGCTCAGTTGGTAGAGCATGTGACTCTTGATCTTGGGGTTGTGAGTTCGAGCCCCATGTTGGGGGTAGAGTCTACTTTAAGAAATAGTTTTAAAAAGTTATTTAAAAAATGTTATATGAGAGAAAGAAATGGAAAGAGATTAACTTTACCTATCCTATGGATTAAAAGCTATACTCAATTAGAAAATGTGATCAGAAAGGAGATTTCTAAGTTATATCCCCTTTACAATGTAAATATGATCCCAAACTACAGAAACATGAAAGTATATTTAAAAAGTAGTGACATAGGGGCACCTGGGTGGCTCAGTCGTTAAGCGGCTGCCTTCGGCTCAGGTCATGATCCCAGGGTCCTGGGATCGAGCCCCACATCAGGCTCCCTGCTCCGTGGGAAGCCTGCTTCTCCCTCTCCCACTCCCTCTGCTTGTGTTCCCTCTCTAGCTGTCTCTCTGTCAAATAAATAAATAAAATTTAAAAAAAAAAAAAAAAAAGATTTGCCATGGGTTGATAACTAAAAAAAAAAAAATAAAAATAAAAAAAAAATAAATAAAAAGTAGTGACATAACTGATTCAAGAAAAAAAGTCATAAATTTGCCAAACCATATAAGTAATACATTTGTGTGATTGTGTTTGTTTTTAACATAAGAAATAGCAATTACACTAATCAATACTAAATAGCTAGGAAAAAAAGAACAAGTTCAATTTACAGATAGCATTGAAAATTGCAATTTCACATTCCATAGGTTACCATTTAGTTTTGTTGTTTCCTTTGCTGGCAGAAGCTTTTTATTTTGTTTTTTTAAAGATTTTATTTATTTGTCAAAGAGGGAGAGAGAGAGCACATAAGCAGGGGGAGCTGCAGATAGAGGGAGAAGAAGGCTCCCCGCTGAGCAAGGAGCCTGATGTGAAACTCGATCTCAGGACCCTGGGATCATGACCTGAGCC